AATATTAAATTTGTTGACACTTTCCATATGTGATCATTATGGGTTGAAGATCAATGCCTTATTCGTCAATGAATTGGAGAAGTCGTGACTAATCTTTTAAATTTTGGCCATCTTCTCTATAATGAATCAAAATATAGAATCCGCTTTAAAATCGTATGTCCTGCGCTTTCTAATATATGATTCAATCAAAATCACACAAGTATGAATTGATATAATCTATATATATGGTAAAATATTATTTGTGATCCGCATATAGTATATATCACTTTTGAGAGAATAGTGATTTATCCATTTAGATACTTTGACATTCCAAAATCGGTACTATAAGTTTTATTATAAGACGTGTGTGACAACATTTCAGTCTTCCTTCTCATTTCAAAAACATATTCTAAGAGAATCCACTACTTTTTTTTTGCTATGGATATAAACATTAATCGCAATTTTTTTTTCCTTTTTCCAGACTTTTCGCTGCTAGTAGCGACCAGTCTTCATTACTAAATATTACGACTAGTTCCGCTAATTGTAGTGAGATGAATTATCTCATTCACTGGTGTAGCATTTGCAAAAGAAGAAAATGTGGTATTTAGTCCAAATTCCAAAATGTATGCTACATAATATAGGATGATTTTTGGGACAACAACATATAAATCGTAAGTTTAAGAAACTGTTTCTCAGAATAAGATAATTAAATAAAATGGCAAAAGAGGTAAAAATTATAAAGACAGGCTGTAATGTCAGTCTATTGAGACAATGACCAACTTCTCTTAAACCGAAAAGTTGACTAATTAGCATTATCATTATCATTATTTTCATCTCTATTCTCTCGTTTACTCTCATATTCAATCTTGGAAAGAAATATGAAAAACACGTCCTCAAGTTTATATTATTTTCCAATTACGCCTTTTAGTTTTCTAATGTGCCAAAGACGAAAAATGCTACATTATTAATCCTCGATTCGTATGACAACACTTATTTTTAATACTTGGGTGATCATGATCAATATCGAACTAGTGGTTTAGGGATAGACAATAGTCCAGTTCTGATCGATTTAAGCCGTTCGACTAATTTTAAAAGTAAATATGTTCATTATCAAAGTGTTGATTCATTATCAAAAATATTTATTGGTTTTGAACATAATCGGCGAACTTTTAAAATTATCCCCTATTTATTATTTGAGAAGAAATTTTTTATAATTTGTTTACATGTCAACTTTATAATCAATCTTAAAAGATAAATTATGACATTAAAAGTGATTGTTTTATTTTTCTACTGATGTAATGTTGTTATGCATTTTAATTGTATGTATCTAAAAAATATTTTTATAAACTTATATGCACATGGTATCATGATTCAAATACAAGCTAAAACGACAAATTTCAAAGAGTTTTACAATTGATGCTTATTTGTCAATTGATGGG